TACTTGCTGGGGTGTCTTGCCCCTCTGAACACCGTACATCCATGCAGGATGATGCTCCCTAGCACACACAGCTCTCTGCGTGTCCACATGGATCTCACCCTTCCTTTTCTAATAATTGCTTTATATTTTCCAAAAATAAAAAAGACCAGGCCTCATCCTTGCACCTAGGTGGGAATACTGCCAGAAAAGATTTCCTTCTGGTGTTTGTGCAGATGTCTTGTCCTGGCTGGGAGGACATCTGTGGGATCACACTCCTGACACAGAAAGCTTTCCTTGCTTACCCTTGTAATTCCAAGCGGTTTGGGACAATAAAAAATGGGCAGAAAGGGACACTGCAGGCAGAGGTCAGTGCCTAAAATCTCCAGACACATATGGCTGTGGTAGAATTTGATGTCTACATCAAGAGACCAGAGCATCCAGAAAGAGACACAGAAACTGAGCTCAGCTTAGTCACACAGACTGACCAGGTAGAATATAATCAGTGTTAGGAAAGAAGCTGTGGCTGCCCCATCCCTGGCAGTGTTCAGGCTCAGGCTGGACAGGGCTTGGAGCAACCTGGTCTAGTGGAAGGTGTCACTGCCCATAGCAGTGGGGTTGGAACTGGATGAGGTTTAAGGTCCACTCCAACACAAACCAGTCTGTGATTCTATCGTAGAATCATAGCTTTTCCTTCCAGCACCATTCACTGGGGATGCTCAGCCATGCCTATCCTGGCAGCACGTCTCACATAAAAACTGACCTAAAATCAAAAAAAGTTTAAACAAAAGGTTAAATATCTTTCTTCTCCATCCAAACACAAAGTAGTTACTTCTGGACTTAAGGAAAGAATTGTTTTGCTTTAACTCCTACCAAAATATCTTTGAATTGCTCTTTTGCTGTGACCTCATTCTCAAGCACCCCTCAAAAGCGGCCCCCACTGCACATCACTGTCTGCACATCCCTCTGCCTGTACATCCCTCTTCTCGCGAAAACTGCTCCTCCTGCACATCACTTGGAAGGGCTCGTCTCTTCTATTTGCTTCTATTGCCCTCTGCTGGGCACTGTCAAAGGGAAGGCTGATGCCCTGGGCAGTGCTTTCTCCTCGCCTCCCTTTGCAGTTTTGGGGGAGCTGCAGAGCCCCAGGTTGGTGTGACAGAGCTTCCCCATGAACCCTTATCACTACTCGCATGTCCCAGAGAGGCCCACAGATGTGGGACATGGCCAACCCAGTGGATGGCCAGCACATCTGGCCAAGAGGTCACCCATGCCAGTGAGCAGAAACCAGAGGGGTCTGCAGAACAGGCATATGCCATGTGTGACACGTGTGAAATACAGAGCAGTTTGGCTCGGCTATTGCACCTGGCTGTGCACAGCTTGAAAGCTCTGCACATCCAAATCTGGGCCAGGCTTTACCCCAAAGCTCAAAGCAGAATGGACAGAGAGAGGCAGTCTTGAGTATCACTTCCTGAAACCTTTTGCTCTGTGCAACCTTTGCATTTCAGCTGCTGTGAGCAGGGGATGTCTATGATGGTTCACACGTTAAACAGAGGCAAAGAGGTTGTCTGGAAGGACCACACTGGCAAAACTAGTGTATGTGCTGCAACCGGTATTGAAGACCTTCAGAGACCACCCAGGTATTGGCAGCTGAGAAAAGGAACAAATTGGTGATATTCAGAGGAATATTCTTCATTTCCAAGCATATCATTTCTGCCCTTTGGCGAAAAGCTCCCCCCTCCCCACCCAGCGTTTTAGAAACTTTTGCATTTCATCAGGCTGAATTCAAGGTGGAAAAAAAGGAGGGAAGAAAGTGGGGACCGTTTTCCTTCAAGAACTGGATGGATTTCAGCAGCAGAGAGGTGCTGCAGGGACAGATTGAGGCTCTCCCTTGTGGTGCAGGGAACAGTATGGGGCTGTACCCAGAGCTGGAGGGATGGGTCTGGGAGCTGGAGAAAGACTTCATACACGGCACCCTGGGGTCTAGCTTCGAGGGGGGCGGTCTTTCCTCCTTCTAAGAGGTACCACCTCCCACCATTCACCAATCCTTCCATCTTCCCCTTCCCAGCAGCTGGAGAAAAAGTGTCAAAGAGCAACACAGCGAGAAAAACAGGTAAAATTAGCAGCGAGTCTTTGGGCACCAAGGGGCTGGAAATTATAGAATAGTTGAGGTTGGAAGGAGCCTTCAAAGCTCACCTAGTCCAGCCCCCCTTCTATGAGCAGGGACATCTTCATCTAAATCAGGTTGCTCAGAACTACATCCAGTCTGGCCTTGAGTGTCTCCAGGGATGTGCATCCAACCCTTCTCTGACAACCTGTGCCAGTGTTTTACCACTCTCATTGCAATGAAGGTATCTTCAAGATTTCACAGCCAGCACCTATCAGGCTGAGGAGGGCAGTTCTCCACTTCCAGAAATCCTCACACAGCCACCAGATTACGGATGACAGAGGAGAGGAACGCCTCATACCAATTAATTCCCAAATTGTAATTAACATGTGGGCCAGCTCGGTGTGATCCCTAGCTGCTAATGAAGCATAGCACTGCTTTAATTCCTGCTATGCCGCACCATCTTCTTATTAAATCCAGGAGTAGTTTCCATCATATTTCCCTTAAAGGGAAAAAGGGGAAGAGAGAGAAATGGAGCAGGATTTGTCTCAATGAAATATGATAGATTAGCGTTTGTTGGATAAAGAAAGTAGGAATGGGGGGAGGGCAAGAGATGTGAAATTTTGTAGGTGCATATGAGCATCAGTATATTCTCTCTCGCAGTGACCTCCTTACACCCCATCCATCAGCCTGGGGTTGGCTTATTCTAACTAGCAGAGTCTTTTCTCGTGTCTAACAGGCCCATCAGACACAATCTGCATGCCAATTACTGGAGCAGACCCCCTGATACTGAGGAATGGAAATTAGCTGTCAAGCAAGAAACGGCATCAGCAGGCTGGGTTTGGATTGCCTGTGCTCCCCGCTCATATCCATATGCAGTCTGCTCCGTGTGCAGCCCTGACGAGGGAGCCCCCGAAGGAAAAAGTAATCTAGAATAATAATAAAATAAGAAAAAATAATAATAATGAAAACCCCACCACCAAACTAGCATATTTTATTGTTATTCGTGTTGGTTGCCAGCATCCAGGGCACAATGCAAAATTCACCAGAGGGCAAGAGCCCAACAGAGGAGAAAGGAGGGGGGAAAAGAGTTGGGATAATTGTGTTTTCACAGTGGGTAGATCAAGTGAGGTAATGGAAGGACGCAGGGAGGAAATGTTGGTGTAAGGGCTCTGGGGTGGGTGTACACCAGCAGCCACGGGCTGCAGCCCCAGCACCCGCTGCAGGTGGGGACAAAGCCCACCACAGGATGGGGAAGCACAGCATCCAGGCAGACATACCCCAAAATCAGGTTGGAAATGCACTGGCCAGAACATGCCTACCTGCAGAAGATTTTCCTTCCCAAATAGGGGTGGCAACAGGCTCCCCATAGAAATTGGTGGCCAAGGCCATGCTCAAGCTGGTGCTTTGCATGGGCAGGAGCCAGCAGATCTTGGAGAGCTGTGCCAGGAGCCAGGGGAAAAAGGGGAGCTGGAGCTGATGCTGGTAGGGCTGTTTGGTCCTGGAGAAATAATGCACCGAGGCACAACTGTAATGACAAATCACCTGCATCCTGCTGAACTGTGATGGAGAGATGATAGAGGAGAAAGGCAAGGTGGGACAGAAGCTGGTCACGAGGATGCATCACCCCTTGCAGCAAAGGGCTGAAACAGGGCAGGGGCTAAAGCTGGAGCGTGAACTGCAGGGTCACAGCAGGGGGAGGAAGGCAACTTCCTGCAGCCCACCTTTGTGCTGGGGGAAGCCCCTCTCGGCAGCCTCTTCCCATTCCCTGACTGCAGCTGCATTCTCAGGGGTTGCGGCACCACAACTTGACAAGCATCACTTAACCTGCTTCCCTGCTCCATAATAACCTCATACATCAACCGCAAAGAGATCGCAGAGCACGGCTAGAAAGGCTCTACTTCTATGCCCAGCGTCATTATCCCAAGGTCCCTTGGTTTGATATGCAAACAGGCTGCAGGTCCCCAGGGTACCCAGGAGGAGAGTGCCCTACACAGCAGATATCAGTTATTCCTGCCCACAGCATGGACCAGCCTGACATTTAACAACAAATGGGTAAATTCATGCTCCAGCTGGCAGCAAACTGGCCTGACTGTGAGCTCTCTGCATGTCTCAAGTGCCCAGGGACCAATTCTCACACTTACAGATGATTCATCAGCAACCCCCCATCCCAGGGCAGCTTTCAGTGGCACTCACTTTATCGATCCCCTCACAGCCTCTTCTTCCTCTTCCAGCTCCCCATCTTGATGCAGCACTTTACCCCCTTTTAAGCAGCTGGATCTCTTGTCTCACACCTATGAGGGGCATCCTGTACCTGACACTCTGGCTTGCTTCCTGAGGATCTGGATGCTGCACCTGGCCCAGCATCCCCCATCGAGACTGCAGCCATCTCCCTTCTTCCCACTCTGGGATCCCTCCCTCTCACACCTCCACTTTCCCTAGAGTCCCATTGCTCCATGCTCATGAGAGGAACATGCTTCTCCAGCAACAGGAAATCTGCTGCCTGCTCAGCTTCCCTGGGAAGGTCTCATTGCATGTGGCATGGATGCAAATCTCATCCCTTCTCCCCAGCCATCAGCAGCCCCTTCTCCCAAGCCACCACAGAGCAGCAGAGCAGCAAGCAGGGACTCCACAGGATAATGACAGGCTGAAACTGCCACAGCCAGCACCAAAACCTGAAGTGGTCCAACTGCTTCACTGGACTGAACAAATGCTGGAGCCCAAGCTCCAGCTTTGGGATTGTTTTTCCTTAGGGAGGAGCAGTGGGATGAAGGGGATGGGGCCAGACTGGAGGAAAGAGATGACAGCATAGACAGTTGTGCTTTGCTTAGAGAAGGCTCAGCCCCATGCCACCTCCTCTGAGGCAGGATAACTCACACACAGACCAGGCCAGGCTGAGCTGAACAACTTAGTTGGTTTATTGAGTCAATGGGCTCCTCACTGGGCGATGCTGCGGAAGGACTGGACGGCGGGGCCAGCGGCTCCCCAGTCCACAGGCTTGCGGTACTCCCCCTTGGGCAGCAGGTACTGCCTGCCCCGGTAGTTGGGATGCTCATAGAAAACCCAGACGCCCTCCAGCACTCTGCAGGCGTGGATCTCGCGCATGTGCCACTCCTCCATGACTGAAGGGCAGTCTTCAGTGGTTTCAAACATCTGCCCACCAAAGTCTCCCTTCTCAAATACCTGGATGTGGCCCCGGCCTCCACTTGGCTAGAGGAAAAGGAGAGAAAATAGCAGAGAGCTGGAGAGGGGCACCCCTATATCTCTGACAGATGACAGAACCTTGCTCCAGCAGATGAGAGCAGAGCTGAGGCATGATTAGACTCAGACCAGATACAAAGCACCTCCCCGCACACCAGGACAGGGCTAAACAGCCCCCCAAAAGCAGAGTGGGGAGGCAGTCGGGATAACTCTTGCGTGGGCATCATGTGCAAAGACACAAAAGCACCGAGCAGAGCAGTTTCAGCTCAAACCCCCACCACAGCCCCACTTCGGCAGGGAGGAAGGCTGCAGGGAGGGATAAGGCCAAGTCAGCAAGCGCTAGGCTCTCCACCCCAGGCAGCCTGCCTATCCTGCTGCTGGTCTGACCCTTCAGCCACTCCACGTGAGCATCAAGAGAGCCAGACCCCCTGCACTCCCCGCTCCTCCAGGCAAGGAGGAGTTTAATGAGCTGGTGACCCCGGCTGGGTTGTATTACAGGCGAACACAGCGTGGGTATTTTCCACTGTGATTTGAAGCGTTGCGTTGCCTGAAGGCACTGCAGGTTTAATCTTCAGCTGCCTGGACACCGCCTATCCCCCACTTCCCCCCATCCACCCAAGCCTGCTCTCATTGCCAGCCCCAGCAGAGCTCTGCAGGGTCTCCTCACTGCCATTGGGATGCTCTGACTCAACACCTGCAAGCAGCAGGTACTCATGCACCGCTCCCAGGCTCAGGAGGGCAAGCCTGGCACCAGCTGGACATGCAGGGTAAGGCCTCTGCATTTCATCCTGATGGGTGTTTTGGTTCCATCTTTTATTGCCAGACCTGTGTTCTGAACTGCCTGGAAACTTTTCCTGCCCTGTGCAAAGGGATTTAGACCTAACTCAAACCCAGAAAAGACTTCAGACATAAAAGCAAAACCCCTCAGCTGCGAGACCTGCTCCATGCTGACTTGCTGCTCAAGACACCAATGCACAGATCACCAATGTCTGCCCTGCTGCTGGCAAAACCACAGCAGCAGCACTCAACAGTCTCAACCCCAATTTATGCTCCATCTACCCTCCCATCCCTGCCAGTTTTAAAGTGTGTTTCTCTCTATAGGCTTCCCAAAGGAATAATTCCCTCTGTTCCTTTCTCCCGGCCAGTGCCTCCACAGTGCCTCCACTGCCACACTGTGGGATGGATAAACCCCCATTTATCCCATCTCCTGCAAGTGGAAGGACATGTGCTGCCAGAGGCTGCAGAAGCATCTTCCCATCTCCAGTTAGGAGGGGATGAGCACAGTTACTGCAGCAGGGAGATATGCATTGCCCTGTGCTCTCCTAATACCAGGTGACACAGGGCTGCTCCAAGCATGCCTATGGAGCACTTCAGGCACTCCCAGTCCTGGTCACTCCAGGACTGCTACTGGGCCCATTGTCCCCATGCCCAGAGGGGCTTCCTGATACAGAGAGTTGGTTCCCTGTATTAGAAGGGAACCCTGGGTTGCTGCAGAGGCAAATAAACTGCCCCTCATTCCAAGTGCTCCTGCAAATTCTGCATCACACTGTTACAAGCCTTGCATCCATCATCTTTCTTCGGGAAGAAAGCAAGAGGCAAACCTTGGAGTGACCTGCCTGGACACTGAAGTCCCTAGAGGAACACACAGATAAAACTATGCTGCTGTTCCTATGGAAACTCACCTACAGAGCACTCCAAGGCATCATTTTTTTCCCACTGTAGCCAAGTGGGAAAACACCTTGCTACTCCCAGAGAAGGACTGCAGGAACAAGCCCCCTGTAGCCATCCTCCCCAGGGGAGCACCCACAAACACGCTGAAACCTTTTAATTATAGGTGTGCAAATTAAGATGTCCCTTGAGAAGAAGTCACACTTACTATCTGAATGGCTTTGCAGGAGCCAAGGCGGTCATTCAGGCCCATCCAGTGCTGGTAATGAGGATACTCCCCTTGTGTCAGAACATACATGTTCCCAGAAAAGTTGGGCCTCTCATAGGCCACCCAGGCACCTCCATCCACACGGATGGAGTTGCAGCGGCTCAGGTAGGTGTGAAAATCAGGGCAGTCACCATCACACTCATAGCTACGGCCTAGGAAATTCTTGTCTTCATAGAAGGTGACCTGAAACACAAGCAGAGGAAGGAAGGCAGGGAGGTTCCTTGTCCCCCAGCACATCCTTGCAGCCATATTCTAGCCACATCATGACATGAAATGTCTGAAAACAAAGCCCTCAAGATGTTAAAAGTTCTTGGAGCCCAAGCATTGAGCAGGATGAACTCCATCCCAGCTAACCCTGGCAGCAGATTCACCAGTGTGGTCCCAATGACTCCAGTCTGCCACCAATGTCTTACCTTTCCCAGCACCTAATTCTGTCCCAGTCCCACCCAAAATTCCCTTGGTGAAGCCCCAAACAGCATCAAAACACTGTTAATACATTTCAATCCCACCTTGTCTCAATCAGTAGTTACTAAATTATGGCCAAGGGAGCCAAGTAGCCAATGGACTATGTAACCTGTCCCCATGTCTCTCCCTCCTGAGTAAGCTCTTGCCATCTTCAGTGTGATGGAGAGTTGGGAGATCACTATCATCTTTCCATGAAATGAGTAAAAGTTGTAAAAGGTGTGCACTAAAACGTCCAGCCCCTCTGTGCCCATGCTAACTATGCTGCTCAGCCCTTGCCAGCCACAGCCCTGCTGTTGCTTTACGGATCCTGCTTCTGGATCTTTGTCCCTAGAGGTGTCCTCTGAAAAATCTGATAGCATGAGCCCAGAGGCAACACTGAAAGCCCTGCTCATGGAGACTTGGCAGCCACTCATTGCCAGTAATCCTCTTCTTGAAGCCAATGGTGAAGGAAGCTACAGCATCTTCCCCTCTTCAACCTCATTCCCCAAGCTCTGCAGTCCCACCGCTGTTCATGCAGTGAGGGTCCAGCAGGGTCGATGATGAACTCTGCCCAACATCTGTAAGACCACAGGTCTGGTCTCCATGCAGGCAGCACTCTGCCTGGGCAGAGGGATGCCTCCTCCAGTAGTTGGCAGTGGGAAAGGAATGGGTCTCCTTCACCTCTGGTCCTGGTTCTGCATAAGCTGAGTTGATTTTGTGGCTGACATCCAGCAGAACCAGCTCCTATCACAGCAACTGTGCAAGAAGTTGATTAAGTTGGTCTTTAGTTTTGTAACAGAAAAGCTCCTTTGATGTTTCTTCTCCACCTAGCCTGACACAATATTGAACTTCATTGTTTCCCTGTACTTATAAAGCCACAAAGTGAAAAAAATCCAAGAGAACATTAAGGGTATGACCATTCCCACAACACAGTGACCAAACAAGTGTTGTTTGTTTTATTCCTAAACCATTTATAGGAAGACTTAAGGACAGGGCTCCTGTCCACCCATTCTCCACCACAGCCCTTTGCACACACACGTCAGTTCATTCAGACCCTCACACTCGGCACTTCTCAGTTTTTCCCCAGCGACTCAGGCTCAAGCAGACCCGACTGACATTCCTCACCCGCAGCATAATGACAGGTAAATTACAGATTTGAATTCCAGATTCATCATTCGTTTCACTTGCATCTTCCTCCAACACAAATCACCTTCCTTCAGCAAAGCCATCAAGTTTCTCTGCTTACAGTGCTAACCTGTTAACCACCCACTGCCCAAACTTGATTTTTGGGGGCTTACTTGGCAGATAACAGATTTGCCATAACACATCTTCCTCACAGGACTATAAAACTCTTACTCCTTTGGTCACCTCATAGCAGTTACCGTATTTCTTCCCAACAGCAGCTCTGTTAGAAAAAAAGCTCATAAACAATAACTACCCTCTAAGTAAGCAGCATGGAGGCAGCAACTCCCTTTCTAGGGCAGACTGCTTGCTCAGGTTGTGAGAAAGAGTGGTTAATTATCTCCTTTGCCCTCTTCTTCTTCTTGGGACCTGCTAGATAAGAGCATGGCATAGAGAAAAGAGGAGATTCACACTCTTTCACTGACTTAAGTCTCCTTGGACATTTTGTTGCACCACATAATTAATTCCCTGTAGCACACTCAACAGACACATGGCTTTTAGCAGGGGTAAAGACAGTATGTGTTTTGGGTCTCTTCAGCACTTTCTTTATGCACAGATACATAGAGACTGTACCACTGAAATCTGACAACCAGCAGATAAGAAGCAAGCAGCACATCCATCCTCAGTTTGTAAAGACTGCTCATAAACAGCCAAATCACTTTCAGCCAAGATCATAGATGAAAGGACCAAGGAAGCAGAGACTGATCCCAGATCTCCCACAGACATCAGACAATACCTACACACCACTCTGCTTCTAAGCCTTCTGCTACCTCAGGTCTTACAGTCTTGGCACTGTGGAGGAATTTACTGAAGGAATGTCACGAGACAGCAACTCATATAATGGAAAGATGTACATCTGACCACAGCCTCTTAACTGATGTTTAATATTTGACAGGAGGAACTGGGCACTAGCTAAAATTCTTGCCCTCCTTTCCCAGCTGTTTATTCCTGCCTAGTCCCAACCTTGCAACGAGGTCTGTGTGACCAAACAGCTTAGCTCTGCTAACTTCAAGGCTGAAGAACACAGCAATACAGCTGGATCCCCATCTGATACACAGCCTTCCAGCTGAAGCTGAACTTTCTGATGCATCTCCTTCTCCAGTTTAAATTCACCTCTGATTCTACCAAAACAAGGCCAGTTGCATCTCTCTGGGAACACTATTGGTTTCAGTGCTGTGGTCATCATACAGGCATCTTTCCATCACAACACACCTTTTGCTCCACCATGGAAGGGGAATGTGGAGGGTACCTGACACGGACTCAGGTCATCCCAAGGAAGCCTTCCACAAGACTCTGCTCTGCAAACGCAGCTCATCAGGTTTGCTGCTGGCACAGAAGCCTCCACCACTAATGTGCAAGGCATTAGGCCCTGGTGCATCTTTTAAGTATACTCTCATCAGTCACCGTGTTCAACTCCATCCTCTCACAGAGCCATACCTAGAGGAGACAGCCAAGATATGGGAAAAGACTAGCAAGGGCTCTTAGCCACGATAACAAATAGGCTGCAAATAAACTTACCTTGGTTTCAGCTCCGGACATTTTCCGTTCCAGACAAGCTCCCTAGTGCTAGAGGAATGTCAGAAGCTGTTACAAACAGCCAGGATTCGAGGCACCCTTTTTATAATGGGTTTGTTTTAAACGAGACAGCTGCTTTGTCATGAGAATAGGATCCAAAAATTGAGTCAGTAATTCTGAGGCTATAGCCGATTTCCAGAAAAGCAAGCAGGATTATGGAATAAAGGCAGGCTTTGCCATCCTCCCTTTGTTACCATTTGCTGAATCAGAACACCAAAACTCTGCCAAATGCACTAAAAAACATTCAGCCCCCTGCCAAGTCCTAGAGGATGGGGTGCAATTTGGCTGCTCTCTCCCTTTTAAGCATGTTAAACAAGAAGGCATTCTGTCAGCTCCAAAAGGCCCAGTTCTGCTTGTGAGGAGGAAACCCAATATTCATCAGAGGACATCTAGCCACACCCCACCCAAGGGTCAAATAGTAAGGAAAAAAGTCCAAATTTCTGACCATATCTGCTAATGTCACAAATTCAACTCAGAGCTCCTACACCGCTATCTGAGGCTTGAGCAGAAGAGTTTTCCTTTCAGCCCACTGAGGCCCAGTGAGCAGAGGGGTCAGAGATTGCTGGCTTACATACACCCGCCAGCACGATATGAAAAAACACCTCTGCAGCTATTCACTGCACCAGCCCAAAGGCTTAGTGAAACAAAGGGAGATGAATTCGGCACAGCAGCGCCTGCAGCACACAGACCCCATTTCAAATCTGTCAGGACAAGCAGTCTGGCAGTAGCAGCTCTGCATGCCACCCCATGTACATTGCTGCAGCAGCCCAACAGACAGCCTGAAACACGTGTGCTCAGCAGTATCTCATCCTCTCCCTCTTTAGGTGTCTTGAATCACCCAGCGCTGTTGCTTACAGGTCTTACTGCTCAAACACTGTGAGAACACTTCACATATAAATTAAAAAGAACGTAAAATCTGCCTTATGAAGATCAGTGTTCAACCACAATCCAGGTCCTATCGAATGACAACTCAACAGCTGCCTTTGGTCATCCAATGCCTCTGCCTATTTTGCCTTCCTTATTTAGGTGCTCAGCTATAAGCACATCTTCTCAGGACTGGTTCCACCAGCCCCTGAGAATAGTACTCATTCAAGCTGATACTCTTTAAAAGAAATACTAAAGGTAGGAAACAGTATTTGTATCAAAATGTTGCGCTAGGGCAGCCTTCAAAACAATCGATTCCGTGGCTGTTAATAAATTGGCACTTTATTCCCTACTGACCAGTTCACATTTCACAAAGCAGTAAAGATGCTGTGTCCCTCTAACACTCACTGTACAGGTAAAAGTAGGACATACATCAAGCTTATCTAAGAACTCTGTTTTATTGACATTTGTCAAAAACATGCAAACATACAAGGAAGTGAATTCCATAAAATCACACTGCTTAAATGCAATCTCTGTATTTTAAAAAAATCAATCTAAATTTAAATCAATTTAATTAAAAAATCAGTTGAATTTCATTCACAACAAAATCAAACATTTCTTTTTCACATTCACAAAAACAGTGCAGCTGGCTTGTACCATAAAAAGGAGGCATACTTCTCACTCAAGGAGGCACACTTCTTCATCCTCTAGCAACATACTTTCTCAGTTACCAACAGAATAGCTGCATTATTTCTCAATTACCAACAGAATAGCTGCAGCACATTCCTGGGAAAGTGGCAGCAATCAGAAATCCTAAACCAGACAGACAGTCCAATCCACACCAAGGGTGGGTGCCAGATCCACGTCAAGTGTGTTCGGGCAAGACTGCCACAGTCTTAATGAGAACTGTTTTTCCAGAGCTCTGTAACAAAATAAGAGGAGAAAATTTTACTACAGCACCAACATTGAAAAAGTAACTTGGAGAATAAAGAAAAGGTGAAAAAACCCAAACCCAAGCTTCTAATGGTTTTGTTGCCGGTTTGGGACTTTCTAAACAAAGACACGGAGTCTAGCTCAGAAAGGAGACATTGTTTACTCTGCGCACAGTGCTCAGAAGTCTCCACAAATCAAGCACCCCCAGGACCGTAACTTTAAGCTATCTATATATTTTGACAATGTAATCAGTGTCCTTTGGTTGAGAGTTACACAATTAATTAGTATTCCACCCTTTATTTATTGGTTAAAAGTCCCTCTTGCCTCTCATGCTAAACAGGCACTATGGTCAGTGAAGCTAATAGTGTCTTGTAATCAGTGGTGGCTCCTCAGCACAGGAAAGACTGAGCATGGTGCCAGATAAAAAGTGAGAGAGAACTTTTTCCAGGTTAAAGATCCCCCCTCTATTTGCCCTGATGGGCCAATATGCATCCCAAACCAATTCTTAGGAATATAACAATAATCCAAACTCCACATGCTCCAGTCATCACCGTAATCATGCACGGGAATACCTTCAGGTACTTTTTACTCCTCTGATCCGTATCTTTTCTGATACAAGTTGCTCAGGGGGTGAAATCAAAACAGAAATAATAGTAACAATATCTTGTATAGGACATTGTTCAAGAACTCACCACAACCATGGGTTCGCCAGGAGAGTCCCCGGATAATCACACCGGTGTGTGCTGGAGTTCATCTGGCGAATCCCTCTGGCTGCGATGATTTCCCAAGCAAGGTCCAGTCCAAATAGTGTCCCATCTGGGCCACCAAAAACTTGTGGAAAAGCATGATAAAGGCTTGTCTCTGGCTCCTAAACCACTTCTGCTTGGGAAGAAAAAGACACTACAATGTAAGAATTATTTGAGTCTCACTCGGCTCTCTTAAGCAAAAGGTGAGACAGGTAAGTAGATATTAATGCACAGAGCCTCTTTGAAAGGGCAGTTTCAAATCAGGTTGGGGGTTTTTTATATCAGATTAAGTACAATATGCCTGTCTGCCTTTACAGATGCACGCAGCATCTTTGTTTTTCTCCAACAAAGCAAACAGAACACCTGCACAGAACAATGGATGTGCTGAGTACACAGGGAACAGATTCAAATTGAAAAGAGGTTTTGACTA